CACAGTATGATGCTGATGGGCTACCTAAGGTAAGTTGACTTCACTACCATTGGTCTTGTACCAAGGAAGTATTGATACAAAGGTGCCTTTAATGATTCTAGAACCTCGAGATGCTAGAACATCGTGTTCGGTTATCGTCAATGGCGAGAAGACCTCGGGCTGTCATTAGTACGTCCTGCGCTTGATCTTGTTCTCATCATGATCAGAATAGGATACAAATCTGCCACTTTTTTCTTCCACACAGTGCGGCAAGCAATGGCAGTTGAGCTCCAATCCTCCAATTCTATTTTGTGAATGTTTACTCACTTGTTTTTTTCTAGTGTCAAGGTATTGATCTAAGAGACGGTCTGTCGGCCATCAGTCCCTCAATTCCCATCCTTTCATTACACGGTCAAAGAGATCAGATTGTCGGATTCAAAGAACAGGCCAAAATATTAGAAGCTATACCTCATGCTCAGAAAGCAAACGTACCTGATCTAAAATTTGGACGTAAGTAAAAATAATGATGAACTATCATTTTCTTCAAGTCTCAATTGAATCATCTTTATTTTTAGATATGTGGTATGATTATTTTGGCACTGAGGTTTGGGGGAAGATATTGGTAGATTTTTTGGATGTAGATGGACGCGGGACTAAGCTTTAAAAATGATGGTCGGGAAGGGGAGGACATGCGTTGAGGTAAGTGAGATCCTCATCTAACCCAAGATGTCGTATATCCCGCTTGGGGATCAACACCTTTTCCTGGGGTATTGTCAAACCAACAAACCAACATGATCTGATTTCAAAATAATGCTTTGTAACTCCGGTAGAAATAGATAGGCTAAGAGGATTGGTAAGATAACATGCACTCGTTGTCTCACCCTGATTTTGGTCAAATGATACATGGTTTTCTGAGCATGATTCAATCTGTTGTGAATCATTCTTGACAATGAAAGCTTAGATTGAGGTTCACCAGAGGTGTCAATAGAGTGGTGGAAACAAAAGGTATGGTAGAGGAATAAAAGCATATATTCCTACTGCAGATATTAGCGGGACACAAACATCTCAACCCAACCTACAGCCATTGTAAGATCTATTGGCAGATTTTGAGAGCTTTGTGTTGTTGCTAGATTTGATGTATAGGTCAAAA